TTCGAATCCTTATCGAATATGAATATGAATCAAGGGTATTCGATTCGTGAGTTTGACAAATATATTCGGAATATAAATCTAATTATACAAATTATATATATATATATATATATATATATATAAATCTAATTATACAAATTATATATATATATATATATATATATATATATATATATATATATATATATCAAATGGTTATAAAATATTTTTAAACGAATATTTTTAAACGAACCGAATATATTTAAACGAATCGAATATTTAAACGAACCGAATATGTTTAATATATTAAACGAACCGAATACGAATCTTAAAAAATATTCAAACCGAATTCGAATATCACTCCATCTTAACGAATATGAATATTTTTCATGAATATTCGATTCGATTCGTTTACAACCCTACTCTGCATGCTCCTAAAAGTCCCCCCGCCCCCAAAGAGAAACTGTGGGCATCATAAGCAAATGAGTGCAGACAAATACACAAATACCCATAGTCCATAGTCCGAAGACTTGGCAGGCCCTACTTGGCAGTCACACTCATAATATTTTTTTAAATATACAATTTCAGGTAATCTTGTAACTATATGCTCACACTCAACAAACTACCCAATAAAAGCTTAAACACACAAAGCATATAAATAACACCAAATTTGTCAAGTAGCAATAATAATATTACCTTGCAATATTCGTTCCAATCTTTCAAGTCTATATGGATTACCCAATTAGCACAATATTTACACTTCAATCATGTATAGGTTTTGGAAAATAGCACATTTTCTAGGGGCACTTCTGCTAATTCTTCTCTTCTTCAAGCAGACATAAAATCTCTTCTCCAAACCCTTCTTGAACCCACACTTCTTGACCACTCTTCTCCCATCACCATTTCTCTTAAACCCCTCTAGTTTCCTATTATTCGTTCCAGACCCACACTCAGTTTTCTTCCTCAACTCGTTCGCCCCAATTTCTGAACTTGAAAACCTAAAGATTGATTCTGCACCTAATTAAAGATTCCCTATTTGCCCCAGCTTCATCACGAAAAATGGAATCTTGGGCCGCAGAACCAGGTGAGATGAGGCTATTTTGCCCGAACACAGCTTGTAACAATATCATGTAACATAGGCTCAAAGCTGCAAGTTTGTTTTTACTACTAATTTTAAGTGTATACATTCTGTATTTGCATACCATTTCAGCATGGAAAAACTAGCACACAACCACAAAAAACAAAATGCCAAAACTGAAACTAACTCACAGTAACAAGAGACAAACACAACTACACAGAATTTCACACTTCCACAAACACTTTATAATATGAACTTACACTGCTTTTGAAAATAATGTATAAGTTTTGGAAATTTGCACATTAGTCACACTTCAATCTGAAGATTAAAAATGCTTGGATTCAGCATAACACTGCACACATCAGGCATAGGACATTTGGATTCAAAACAGGTGCAAATCAACCTTAAATCAGATTAAACACCAAATTCAGCTATAGCTTTGGGTACTAATAGAAAACCAAGAGAGAACTACATCTGGAAAAAGAAAAAATAAACCAAAAAGTTTAAACAAACAAATTCAGATAACAGATAATATTGCAAAGGAACCAACTCAACCAAAAGCTCAAGCTTGTGGTTGTGGCCCAGGAATGGTTGTTATTGAAGAATGAATATTTTCGATTGATTTTTTGTGTAGGAGTACAACCATATTTATATACAAGATGGGACTCCTAATCATGGTAGGAGTATAAGTAAGGAAACCTATATAAAAAGGTAACTACCAATAATACAATGATATAATAATAAATACATTAAATATACTTAACATAAATACATATTAAATATATTTAACATGCTCCCGGCTACGTCGGCTGCGGTGGAGGACGAATTCCCATGCTTGTGCGAAAATCCAAGAAGAAAACCGAGGTAAGTCCTTTAGTGAATATGTCAGCATACTGGGAGGAGGAGGGAACATGGAGAACTCGAATATGTCCCAATGCGACCTTGTCGCGAACAAAGTGAATATCAACCTCGACATGTTTAGTGCGCTGGTGCTGGACTGGATTGGTGGATAAATAAATGGCACTAACATTGTCGCAGAACACGAGGGTGGCTCGTTGCAAGGGATGTCTGAGCTCAAGGAGAAGGTTCCGAATCCAACTGGCCTCGGCAACAGCATTGGCGACGGTGCGGTACTCGGCCTCGGCACTGGAGCGAGAGGTAGTGGCTTGCCGCTTGGAGGACCAGGAGACGAGATTATCACCAAGGAAAACGCAGTAGCCAGAGGTAGAGCATCTGGTGTCTGGGCAGCCTACCCAATCTGCATCAGAGTATGCCTGTAAAATGTCCGTGCGCGAAGGAGTGAGGGAGATGCCCAATGTAGTGGTGCCACGGAGATAGCGGAGAACCCGCTTCATAGCTGTCATATGCGCCTCTCGTGGAGCATGGAGATGGAGGCAGAGCTGCTGAACTGCATAGGTGATGTCTGGCCGAGTAAATGTGAGGTACTGCAAGGCGCTAACAATAGAGCGATAGAGGGAGGGGTCGGATGCATCTGGCCCAGCAGTAGAGGAGAGTTTCGACTTAGTATCAACATGGGTGGAGATGGGGCGGCAGGTGACCATCCTGGTGCGCTCAAGAATGTCATGAATAAATTGTGTCTGATGAAGAAAGAGCCCACGGGAAGTGCGATGTACATTTATGCCCAAGAAAAAATGCAGATCGCCCATATCAGTCATAGCGAACTCTCCCTTGAGACGCTGTGTGAGATGCTGAAGGAGATGATCGGAGGATGTTGTGAGAACAACGTCATATATCTACATAGAGAAGTAAATATGTCGTGTCCGTCCCATGAGTGAAGACAAAGAGAGACGTGTCCGTTTTGCAGCTGCGGAACCCAAGAGTCTGAATGTAGCTGGCGAAGCGGTGGTACCACGATCTGGGAGCCTGTTTGAGACCATATAGTGCCTTCTTGAGTTTGCAGACATAGTGAGGCTTGGCCAGGTCCTGAAACCAGAGGGCTGAGTGGCCTAAACTGTCTCCTGTAGGTACCCGTGAAGAAATGCATTCTTGACGTCCAGCTGGTGAATGGGCCACCCCTGAGAAAGAGCAATACTCAATACAATCCGTACTGTGGCCGGTTTTATCACCGGGCTAAAGGTCTCATCGTAATCCACACCAAATATCTGGTTGAAACCGCGAACAACCCATCGACCTTTGTACCTGGATAACTCACCTGTAGGGCCAAGTTTATGTCGGAAAAACCATTTACCGGTTATAATATTTTGGTGGGGGGAGGGGGGTACTAGTTCCCATGTGTCATTCTTGATCAAATCATTAAATTAATCAACCATAGCAACATGCCAGTTTGAATCTTTAAGAGCACTACGGTAGGTGGGGGGTAAGGGGGAAATGGGAACGGTGGTGTTAAGGTTGAGTATTTGCTTTGGGCGGGTGATGCCAGCCTTGGAACGGGTGAGCATGGGGTGTT